ATTAATGGACGTTAGGTACATCATCGGTGACATCACCAAAGCTTAAGGGTGTTCAGTACCTGTCACAACAATAGTATAGGCTTGATGGTTTAGTGGTATAATTCGCCCTTCGGGTGGGCGAGGTCCCGGGTTCGATTCCCGGTCAAGCCCTACTACTCTTTTGCCGGATTTTTCCGTGATTTCACACCAAGCTGTTCTTACATTTTTTAGCTAATAAAATACTGTCCCAAGTAGCACTCGACTTTTATGTTTAATGGGTATGCTATGTATATAACAGATCAATAAGTATCACGTGGTTTCTTGGGAGCAGCAGATAAGTATAAACTACCGTTGAGTTCTTTCGGGTGGATGATACACAGGATCTACGTTTTATTTACACTTATTCAAATCAAGGGGTGAAATGAATTGGCCACCACTTTGTTTTGATCCAGTACAGTAGCGGATATGTGGTCACAGCAATTATCCAGGACATCGATAGTGCGGCGCTACTAAGCCAAGGGCCAAAGTATCCTCCCATTCCTTTAGTCAATTAGGTATATATGTATCCTAAACTTTTGGTTTTCATTATATTTCCTTTATCCTTAATGGCATCACCCTATCCTCTCGCCCTACAAAACACCTATCGAGTCACTATTTGCCACGCCACCTTGCCTTTTATACCAGTCTACTCCAGCATCCCAACCGCTGCTTCCTATTAAGGGCTGCCTTCAAATCCCTCGCGCAATGCAGGTATATGAGCACCGCCTCGAATCGTTCGCCAACGCTGAATTGCCCTGGCCCCACAATACTAACGAGTACCTGGCCACCCCCGAGACGGTAAATACTTCATATGCTTTAACCCTACCAGCTGGACCCACTATATTACTGATAGACTCGGTTTATACCTTAACTTTACGGGTTAGTCTGTTTAGATTTCTTTGTGTAATATGTATTCCACGAAACGGCTCGCCCATGTGACTTGGTCCACTAATATTGGTATCGAATATTCCTTTCCCACTTCCGGCGTTCCTTTTGTAAAAAATAATGCTATTTTTAAAACTCCGCCGATATTTTTAGTTAGCCAAGGCCGGTTTCTTTTTCAACCCTCAGCAACTTTCGCTCGACGCAGTCCAATGTTTCCTGTGTCAAAAATCGCTGGATGGCTGGGAACCCAGCGATGACCCCTTCGAAGAGCACCGCAGTCATACCACCGACTGCCCGTGGGCCACGGTTGTCTGTGAGAGCCAACAGGTATGTCCGATGTCCCGCGAAGTGATCCAGCGGGTGGACCTAGAAGTCAAGTACCTGGGCGGCAAAACCAACCAGGCCTTAACGGCCCGGCTCGAAACGGCCCGGATGGCCACTTACCGCGACTGGTGGCCCCACGAACATAAAAAGGGCTGGAGCGTGCATGTCAAAAAAATGGCCAAGGCGGGGTACTATTATTCCCCGTCGTCCGAATCCGACGATGCCGCATCGTGCCCCTACTGTAATTTGTCCATGGATTTCTGGGAACCAAAAGACGACCCCAAAAAAGAGCATAAAAAACGATCCCCGTGGTGTCTATTTTTCCAGCGGGTTCGGAATAAGAATTCCAGCGTGGGGTCGGTGGGGATGGTAGTCGAACCCAACTCTACTATGGTCGAGGATACCGGTGCTGACCCTAGTCACAGCTCGCAGCCAGTGACAGTTACCAAAACAACCCGTTCGTCCATAGTGGTACAGGAAGATGATAAGGCCGACCTGAGCGATCAGGAAACCGACCAGGCTAGTATCACTAGTCGATCGACAGAACCTGCAACTAATACCCGCCGGTCGCGGGCATCGTCCGCTGCCAGCAATGCCGGTGCCGTGGTAACTGAAACTGGAAACAAGGCACGGAAACGTGCGACCTCGAGTGCCAGTACCGGCCCCGCCACCACCACCACCACCGCCCCGCGACGGAGTAAGCGGGAACGCTCCCCTTCCATAAGTCAGGGCCTTCAAGACGACAGTCCCCACTCGAAGGATCGGCGACTCGAGGATGGCACTGACCCTGCTGACCTTCCTCCCATCCCCACCACTGGGCCCATCGAAGAGGATTCCTCCGTATCAATATACACTTCGGACCCAATCAAAGTGGATACTAAATCTACCCGTCGCCGTGGGGCCCGGAGCAAATTAGTACGCACGACCTCCGCTGAATCGGACCACAGTAGTCACCGAGAGGACCTGGAGGCCATGGAGGTGGAAACGGGGCCTGTTCGACCGGACCGACTGAAACCCCCTTTACCACCGGCGGAGAAAACTAAAGGAGCGACGGCGGGTAAACGTCGACTCCAGCGGGCCGTAGCAGCGGCAGTGATGGCACCCCCCGCGGTTTCCGCGGGGGATGACGACACTATTATGGAAACGAGCCTGGCCGTGGATGACAATACCAAAATGACCGAAGTAGTATCCCCGCCGCTGGCCCCTAAACGACGTAGCACTCGCAAGGCTAGCCAGGCTTCTGGTATCATGGAGGCCGAAGTGACTAATGAACCCGCCAATCTACCTAAACTGGAATCCAAGGTTGCCACCTCAAACGCAGTCGTAGTCGCTGACACAGACACAGACGCAGTCGTTGACCGGCCAATGCCCGAAGATCCTGTTGCTGTGGAGGAAATCGCCCAAGCAATTAAGCAAACTAGGCACGGTCGCCAAACACGATCTACGCGGTCTTCAGCAGCGACGGTTGCGCCGGTTGCTCATACCCCTGTGGTCGGGCCCTTGTCTCTACCGTCTCCACCTCAAGTATCCGCCGATTCGTCTGAGTATCCTGCTAGTCCCGTGTCTGCACCAGTGGAAGAGAAAGAGGATGATGAGAAAGAGAAAGAGGTGCCGTATGTTGAGGCCGTTGAAGCGGAGGTGCCTTCTAAATCCGAAATGAGTATGGATTCTCCAGTACCAGAGGCAACTAATATCCCCGAAGATCCCTCTTCAGAAACACCGTCGTCACCCGTGCCACTGCCTGTTGAACCGAGGGTCCCTTCACCGGCATCCTCGTCCCATTCGTCTCCGGCCGCGGCTCCTCTAGAAGAAAGTACGGAAGCGGCGATGAATTCAACCGATATATCCCCTGTGCCGACACCGCCCAGGTCGCCTCTGCCCCCGTCTCTCGCGCAACAATCCACCGCTTCCCTTGAAGATACTAACCAGATTGAAATGGACGTTCCTTTACCCACTTTGGATGCCCCACTAAACCTCCCTACCATTGCGGCGGTGGATCTACCTTCGCCTAAACACATCACCCAACGGCACTCGCCAGAAGTGGCCCCTCGACCTCCCAAAGCGACTTTACTTCTGCGAGACCCCACCCAACTCCTGGAGATTATTACCCCCGAAGAAGCCGACATGACCGTGGAGGAATTTATCCGGTTTACCATTCAGCAGGAATGCGATCGTTTACACCACCAATGCGAAACCCTGGTGCATAGTTTCATCTCGGAGGCGGAGAAAGTGCGGACACGTATCCAACACATGTAACGAGCCGGATGCTCCGCCTCGTCATCAAACGGCACCGCAATCGATTTCCAGTCATTAATAATTCACCTTCTATTTTATTTTTATGTAATTTATCTATTTTGGACAGTTGCTTTATTTTCCCGGCCTTCGTTAATATTACTGCATACCTTTTTATCAAATTAGTTTCACTATTTATGCAATCGAAATGAATATCTAGTCACCAACCTGGGATACTATACTATCCCAACACAATAGTACCTCCTGACCTAATTCAACCATGAACTAAACTCGGATAGAATAATCGGAGCTCCGTATGTTTACAAAGAAGTAAATTTATTGAAGGGCAAAGATTTTTATGAAGAAACCAAAGTGAACAACGCCCGCCATAATATAGATGGCATTCGAGAATAACGGTAGCTAGAATCGTATAAAGGGTACTAATAGGGTTTAGCACATTTGCGGTATTCGATGGCATGCGTCTTGGGACACTGCATAGTTTCCCAGGAAACTGGAACCAGAGTTTCGCCTAGAAAGAGTTCATTCAATAGGATACATAAATAACAATATAAGTTAGTCACTCGAAATCCCAAGGAATAATGTAAGACCACACAAAGTATTATCCAGGAAAGGATGTGGTGGTTGGGTCGGCTATAAACACCGCCTTGATCAAACACACCATAACTTCCTTTAACTTACCGGCTAGACTTTGGGCCAAAATCACCCCCAATTCATTTTGGGCGGTGGATAGGTAATACGACCGGGCATCACCCAACGAAATCACCTGGGCCCGCACAATATCGCCGGGCCGGAAGGATTTGTAAATCTGGACATTGTCCTTCTCGGTAGCCCGGACATCCTGTATCCGAATAACGCCCAGGTAGTCCTCTTTGCAGGGCCGCGAGTCGACCATCATGATGGCCACACTGGCGAACCGCGTATTGATGCGTAGGACTTTGCCAATCACCGTACTGCCCACTTGGGGTACACTGCTGAGTTCTTTGCGAGGAGCAACGAAAAGGGTGGGTCGGGGATCGGGGTCGGTTTCGTCTTCGGCAGCAGCAGCAGCAGGGGTCGCCTCGTCGGAATCTTCCTTCGGTTCAGTTTTTGGTTTGGGTACGAATTGCTTTAGCGTGCCGAGAGTGGATGCGTAAATGAAACCATCCCGAATGTAGGTGCCCGGTCCGGCCTGCAAGTCGCTGGTCTTGCCTAGACGAAGGCCTGGAGTTACAATGGTGGTAGACATGAGCGGCAATGGTCAATAAGAATGAAAATTAAGAATAGGGGGAATAGAGGAGGTAATGAATGTTGACTACTGAGAGAGAAATACGAATGTGGACAGGTGGCAATCGACCATGGAAACCTATACCGAAGTGGAGACAATTCATGCTATGGTTTGTCGAAAGTAACCAGCCGCCAAACTACCACTATGCTTCTATCAAAAAAAATAAAAGCACGGAGGGGGAAATACTGGATCTGGTTTAGTCACGTGATTTTAAGAGCGTGCTATTCCTACTGCACCTAATCCAGTTCTATTCAGCTCTCTGTAATATCTCCCTCTGCTAATCCCCGTTCAATGGCATATTTTTGAGAGGGAAAAGGCGGACCATTCTCAACCAGAGTAGCACAACAGGACCACGTATGCTTAAGGCATACATTGCTGCCAAGCTCCCCTCTCGGTCAAAATATCCTAAAACGCATTAAGTATGGATTACAACCACCACTAGAGATGAGCGAGAAGAGTTTATGAGTACAGCTGAAATATCCCCGTTGGGATAAGTATGTTATTTATTTTGAATGCGGCCAGTGAAACAGGATAAATAGGGATCTGGATTGTCTCAGGCGAACGAAAATGAAAATGAAAATGACGAAGTTGAAACATTAATGAGCGTGAAAGGAGGGCACGAGCTGTTGGTATTTAACTACGGTTAAAGATACCCCGCACACCTTTCATAAGAACTCCGCCCATGAGGCCGCTGAGCGCACCGGCACCGACCGCCTGGTCAGCCAGCCCGCTCCATCTCCGCTTCGCGTCCTTATCGCAGCGCATATAGCCGATGAGGTTGGCGGAGCTGAGCACAATAGCCACGATGACCACCAGCAGCCATTGGAAATTAAATCGAATGAGGGAAATCAGGGCCAGTAGGGCCCACACGACGGGGGTGGCGTAGAGGGTACCCCAAAAAACGCGCGAGTCGGTGGCGTTGACGGGGATAGCGGGGTCCCGACTTTCGAATATCCAGACGTTGGACCCATCCTCCTGCACTTCATTCCACCACCGCAGTCCCACCAAGAGACGCCCGGTCACGTTCTTAACGGTCCAGAAGTCAAAAGCTAGAAGCAGGACGGATACCACGAACATGAAGACAAAGTCGGCGGAGCCGAAAATGGGCACAATGTACAGGACGACGGCGATGAGGCGGAAGAGAACGTGGAAGACCAGGGCCACGGGATGGCTGGACTGGGACAGAATGGAAGGGCTAGAGGCCGGCTGCTGGCTCTCCAAATCGGCCGGAGCGGCGAAAGTGGAGGGGCCCGGGAAGCTGGGCGGGGAGTCCACCAGGACTTGGCGGTCCAACGAAGCCTACAGGTCAAATATAAAAAGCGGTTTTATAAGTTTGGTCATAGTGGTTAGTGAGGGCTAGTCATTAAGGCATGAGGGGCGGGAGGGTATATACGATAGTAGCGGTCTCTCAACGGGCGAATAGACTCTAGTGAATGACTACATTGAGTCCAGGCGAATAGAGGGGGGGGGGTAAACTCACCATCTTGAATTTGGGGTTCTTGAAAATAGAATAGAGGGGGGAATAGATTAAAATGAGAAGAAGCGCAGAGTAGAAACTAGACGTGATGCGTCGGTAATGTCTTGGAATCGAGATAGAGTCGCGAACATCGCTGCTAATAGACCAAGCGGAACAATCAATACAGAGAAAGCTAACTGGACTATAGGCGTTCAGTGGAATGCAGCCATCGCCCACAGCTGGAAGCGGCAGTCCAATTTAAAAGAGCCGAACATACCCTAACCCTCAGATGGTGCCAAGTGCCCATCTGGAGTGACCTGGTCGAGCAGCTGTAGTAATTTGACCATGCTCGGGGGTCCCCAAGGGAAAGGAAGACGTACAGATGCCCACGACGGTTGGTGGATTGCCGAGTTGCAACGTCAAATATGTAATGCTATATATTATAAATCTTTCTGACTGTCACAGAGGTGGCTTGGCCGAGCGGTCTAAGGCGCCAGACTTAAGTTCTGGTCTCCAAGCGGAGGCGTGGGTTCGAACCCCACAGTCACCACTCCCTTTTTGCAATTTTTTTGGGAAAAATATATTTTGGCTTATGGCTACGGTAATTTGGGACGAATGGTACCGAGGCGCTCCTTGTGGAGAACTCGTAGGGCCAAAAAGGGGGAGAGTATAAGCTAACATTAATCCTTATGTAGCTGAGTATCCATATACCCCATACGGTGAGGGGGAGGGAGAGTGCCATGGCCACTATTACTTTAGGTGCTATTATTTTAGGTATTTTATCTGTAGGATTAAATGGGCGCGCAGGTTTGTCGGGGAGCGGAGGGGTGCAGCTGATTCAGGGTTGAGCTCGAAAACTGCCTCACCAAACACAAATGGCCTTATTGCGCACCCAATTATAAGGGCAGAGTGGAAAGTGGTGAAAAAGGGCCGTGCAATCGAACCCAGCGATTTATTGACCAATGGGTGCTCTCCACACGGCAGTGACTACACTCGTTGACGGCTCGATGTGGACCATAATGGTAGTTGAGGGACATTATCTCTTCTTGCTCTTTGACAACAAGGCATGGCCTATCGAATTGGGGAGTTGGCTCCATTCAACGATAGAGCTGGCAATACTCTCCGCTTGCCTATTTCAACCCAAGGAATGAGCCCAACCTCCCTATTAGCAGTTTAATACCTTGCTGGTGAGCCGCCAAAATGATTCAATGGGCCCTTTCGGTTGCATTCCGGAGCGTGTATCACAATACCAAGCTATATCCGCCCAATATCCAGTTGCCACTGGTCACTAAATTATAATTCCCCCCGAAATATTTATAAATAAGCTGACCTAGCCGACCTCCTCTATAGTACCCACTTCAAGTATTATAGCTATCTATTCACTGGCTCCGCAGACTCCTCTATTCTGCCCCACCCCCGTATCCCCTTCATTGTAACGCTTGGTTCATCTCTCCTACCCTTTTATTTATTCTACCTTTAGTTGTTGTGTATATTATGTTAGATTTACTGGTCTGTGTCGCAGGCATCTACGCCTGTTTTCTCTCGTGGGGCGTGCTGCAAGAGCGCGTCTCCACCACCCCGTACGAGGGGCAGCGCTTCCGCTACTTCATCTTCCTCAACCTCATTCAAAGCCTGGTGTGCAGCGGGGTGGCTATGGTCTACCTGCTCGTCACCGGGAAGCGAGTCAGCCGGCCCAGCTGGCCGCTCTTCCGCCGCTACGCCCAGGCTGCCATCACCAACGCTCTGGCCTCGCCCTTTGGCTATGCGTCGCTCAAACACATTGACTACCCGACCCTCACGCTGACCAAGTCGTGCAAGCTGGTCCCTGTCGTGGTCATGAACGTCCTGTTGTACCGCCGCCGCTTCCCCATGTACAAGTACGTCACGGTGGCCTTGGTCACGCTGGGCGTCTCGGGCTTCATGTTCATGCAACCCACCAGTGCCACCGCCGCCGCAAAAGGAGCCGCGACCAGTAGCCTATGGGGGCTGATGCTCGTGCTCGTCAACCTCCTCATGGACGGAGCGACCAATTCCACCCAGGACCAGATCATCCACGAGTTCCGCGACGTCACCGGACAACACATGATGCTCTTCATGAACCTGTTCGGTTGCGTTATCAACGCCCTTTGGCTGCTCAACCCCTACAACCCCGAACTCGGCCAGGCCCTGGCCTTCACCATGCAGTATCCCGAAGTCTGGCGCGACTTGCTGCTCTTCGCGGCTTGCGGCGCCTTGGGCCAGTGCTTCATCTTCTACACGCTGGCCAACTTCGGCTCATTGACGTTGGTCACCGTGACCGTCACCCGTAAGCTGTTCACCATGCTCCTTTCCGTGTTCTGGTTCAGCCACCAGCTGTCCCTGGGTCAGTGGACGTCCATCGCCGTGGTTTTCTCCGGGGTCGGGCTCGAAGCCTACGTTAAGCGCCAGGAGAAACTACGCTCCACGGCCGCCAAGAATGCCTCCAAGAAGGAGCTCGACGAAAAGATCAGCACCATGTCGGTCGATGCCATGTCCGCTAACACTGCTAGAGCCAGCCCGGGCGCCCGGGTATCCAAACGGAAGGTGTAACCTATTCCTTATTCCAGGCAGGGTTGCTGATGACTTGAGTAATAGGGGAGCTGTGGCTAACACATGGTATTATTACTATCTTCTTTTTCTTTATTGCTTATCGCCTCGCCTAGGTTCCTTCAACTGGTGGAATGGCACAAGGCGGGAAAATACTATTTTATCATCCCCTTCACCCTGTCGAGGCAGCGCCTTATAGCAGCTCTCGTGTATATGCGATTTACCTCACTTTGCGCCGAACCGTCGATGTATGTATATTTGAATGAATTCATCGATATATTTATATGGATTAAAGACACTATTTTGCATCTTTTATGCGGACCGAGCGTATTTGGCCGATTAGGCGGATATTTTCATATGGCTTAATGATGATTTTGATGCGGGCAATTTAGGGGCATTTCTTGATTAATTTATAGTGTACGTGGCGTGACTGCTGTAACGTAATCTAAATCCCAGGCTGTAGTTTGTTTCTGTGCCTTTCTCACCACATAATCCTTTGAAGCAATTGATTTGCTAGTAATACGCCCATGTGAGCTGGAATAAAAGGGCAGGCTGTATGTGGCCTATTGGATAGGTCGCTGTCTGTCTGCGTGACTTTCGTTTGGGCTAGATGAGTCACTCCGACTACAACCTTACCCGGTTGTCCATTACGTCCTCCGCATTCGGTTAGTATATATATTGGTATTTCTTCATTGCCACCTTGCATTAGCTCTCGGCTTTGTTCACCGCCTTATAACGCCTTCCTCAGTCTTGGTATAGAAACTAGCGCCATGCTACTGCAACACATTCGCAGCTCATTTCAGAAGTACCTCTCCTGCGGGGGGTTCGATTCGGCTATCGTGAGTCAGGTAGGTGGTCTAGTATAGGAATAAGGCCTACTGACCTTCGCATTTACCCGTCCCTCACTTGACCAAGCCTACTATTCAATTTCACTATGCGGGGAATTCTCGGCCTTTTTTTTTATCTCACCAACCCATGCATGGGTCAGTTAAGTTAGTGCGTCTACTAATATACTATGTACTGGACCTATTCTCCCTTGATTTAGATGCAAATAACTAAAGCTGTCAAAGGCCATATTACTTGCAGTGTGGTCCTCCAAAAAGAAAACATGGTAAGCCAATATACCAAATATGCGATACTGCTGCTTCACAAACTATAGATTACTCCGACCTTTATCTTTTGCGGTCCAAGACCGAAGCATCTGGTTTGCTTGTATGAAAGATGACACCCCTATGCTTTCATATTTTTATTTATTGTATGAATCAGCCTTCTATTCTAAAGCATCCGTATTTGGTTTGACCTCTTGATACATTTTCAAAGAATTTCTTGGGTTCGGCCCACGGCGGCTGGGTGGCCGGAGTAGTGGACATTGCGGGGTCGCTTAGCGTTGCCTCTATGGGCCTTGATCGCACTGGAGTTTCTACCGACATCAATATTTCCTACCTAGCGGGGGCCAAAGAGGGGGACACCCTGACCATTGTAAGTATTGTCAACCAAGCTAGTATACATTAAACATTAAAGCTAGTAATTTTGGTGATTTCAGATTGATGCCAAGCCAAGCCATACCATCCCAAACATCCAATACACTATTGCCCCTTGCCACAGTATAATAACCGAGTCCAAAATAATATTTATTATGTGTATATATCTTATGGTTCGAAAAACCCTGTATTCAGGATGCCTACTGCCGTAAACTAGGTCGCACCCTCGCATTCACCGAGGTTGAAATCAGATCGAGTGAAGCATTAATGGCAATTGGACGTCACACTAAATACGTACCCGAAAAGATTCGCGAGCAGAAAATTCCTCTGGATGAACTGCCCACGGACGAGACCAGCTCCTAAAGCACACCCTTGTTTAGTATCCCACCAAATTCTGATAGGCAGCATCGTATGGTACGGAGCGGTGGTCAAGGCGTGCATATGTGTCATGGCGACACCGAACCCTGCGTGTAATCTATTTTTGATTACAGCCTCCGAAACCTCGGGGAAGGTGCCCTGGTCGAATGAGCCATGCGCTCCATACCGTATTATATGCACTCTCATTTAGCCAGGCCGCGTACCGAGAGGTTGTAGACCACTTCTTCGATCTTTTTAACATCATACTAGCGCCATATAGACACATGCAAATCGAAGCAGTATATAAAAATTCATAATTGTTAAATATCGCGTCTAGCTGTATAGTAAAGTAGCGTCTCAGTAGCTATTTCGGTGTTACAAATAAGTTATATGGATTTCGCAAAGCATTCAGTATAAACCCAGTATATTAATGGCCCAATACACGACTTACCTTGATAGAATCAAAGTGCTTGCGAACCGAGTCATTCTTAAGGTTCAGGCTTTGGAAGGAGCTGAAAAGCTGAGCCACGAACTCGGAAATCTCCAGGGGGCGATGGAAGGCTTGGTAGGTGACGGAATTAACCGAAAAACGCGCCTGTTAAGTACATGTGCGGTGTATTGGCACCATAACGTATATATTAGGAAGAGTGGGCGGATGGATCTGGCCATCCATTTGGTACCATAGCTATGGAAGTCTTTCGGCCGGGCGTAAAGATAAGACGTATCAAGTTTAATATGTGACACTTACTAGCTCGGCGGGCAGAGAGAATAAACCATGCAAATATTCCTCGATGGTAATATGAAAGTCAGTGACGGCGTCGTTGTTGATGAGAACGCTAAACCCCAAATAGTTTTGCAGCTCTTCCAGAGTAAGTAGCGACTTGGATTCCAGGTAAGTAATCAGCGCAGCGGCGAATATGGCCTGTTGCAGAACGCGGGACCAAATATGGTTGTAACTACACGCAGTATAAAAGGAATGGGCCATTGGAAATGGTATTAGAATCCGATTAAAAGTTGTGGTACCTTACGCGCTATCGGTGCTTTTCATTGAGTCATAGAGCACAGGTATTATACGTCGTGGGTGAATTAAAAGCGTATGTTTGGCTTACCTATAGAATTTCTCGGCGGGGAAGGCCTCGCTGATTTT